ATATACTGAACCCGGCCTGGCATGGCCAGATGGCTAGGGCGTTCGACTCGTAATCTGCGGGTCGCAGGTTCGAATCCCAGTCACACCAAATATGCTCGCCCTTTCAGCCGTGGGGGCGTTATAATGTGACGGTAATCCCACTATTCGTTGGTAAAAGAGTAGCCCAAGAGTTGGCGGTGGGTGGTGATGACTAGCTACCTTCCCTCTAGTCTTACACTGCTAAATTAGGAACGGCTAGCGCAGATAGCCCTCGTGTAGCTTTGCGCGAAATTCAAAACAAACAAACATGTACTAAACCCAAGTTGCCTTACCTTCGTATGTAATGTTCAAGGTTTGAAACTCATATTGTGCTTCTGTTGCCCCTGCGCTGCTGTAAGCTGTCACTTGGAGGTCGTACCACGTTCCTGGAGAGAGGTCTTGTATTGTGTACTGTGACTGACTGGAGAGTACTCGTTCTTTAATTGTCCTCCAATGAGAAAGGGGCTTTCTTCTTAGCTTTATGGAAAAGCTTTCGATGGGACAACCACCGTTTTGCCACGTAAAAAGGTTGAGCCTTGCAGACGTAGTATCAGAGAAAATAAGGTCGTTTTTAGAAGGTGACAAAGGAGCTGAGGGACATAGAAACATTTGTTATTGGTCAATAGCTTAAGAGTTCTGTAAATAAATACAAGATACAAATAAGTTGGTGCTGGATGTACGTTAACTAGAGTTAACATAAATTGGTGGTAGTTGTACATTAACTAGAGTTAATATAAGTTGATGTAAGCTGTACGTTAACGAAACTTAACATAAGTTGGTGCTAGTTGTACGGTAACTGGAGTAAACATAAGTTGGTGCTACTTGTACGGTAATTGGAGTTAACATAAGTTGGCGCTAGTTGTACGGTAACTGGAGTTAACATAAGTTGGTGCTAGTTGTACGTTAACGAAACTTAACATAAGCTGGTGCTAGTTGTACGTTAACGAAACTTAACATAAGTTGGTGCTAGTTGTACATTAACTAGAGTTAATATAAGTTGATGTAAGTTGTACGTTAACGAAACTTAACATAAGTTGGTGCTAGTTGTACGGTAACTGGAGTTAACATAAGTTGGTGCTAGTTGTACGGTAACTGGAGTTAACATAAGTTGATGTTACGGGTACGTTAACGAAACTTAACATAAGTTGGTGCTAGTCGTACGGTAACTGGAGTTAACATAAGTTGGTGCTAGTTGTACGTTAACGAAACTTAACATAAGTTGGTGTAAGTTGTACGTTAACTAGAGTTAACATAAGTTGATGTTACTTGTACGGTAACGAAACTTAACATAAGTTGGTGCTAGTTGTACGGTAACTGGAGTTAACATAAGTTGGTGCTAGTTGTACGGTAACTGGAGTTAACATAAGTTGGTGCAAGTTGTACGTTAACGAAACTTAACATAAGTTGGTGCTAGTTGTACATTAACAAGAGTTAACATGACAACAAATTTTACAGATTGCGACGACTCTTTCAAATATGGATCACAGGGAAGAGTAGCAATAACTTTAAAAGTCCCCAGCAGGGGACATGAATATCTACCAAATTCGAAGGCCTTACAATATTACATCCTATAAGGCTCGATAGAAACTGACACACGCACTTACACGAAGAGCTAAATACTGAATCTGATTTTGTGGATTGGCTGGTTTTAAAATTCTGTCCGAGGGTTTATAAAAGTACAAATCGAGTTTAGATACTTGCTGTGGGCAGAGCACAGAAAGCCCATTGTGTAGCTTAACAACCAAACAAACAAATCAAAAGCTTAAATATAATCGAGGCTTACGGTTTTATATCCGGTTAGAATGCTAGCTTAAATATAATTGAGGCTTACGGTTTTATTTCCGGTTAGAATGCAAGCTTAAATATAATCGAGGCTTACGGTTTTATTTCCGGTTAGAATGCAAGCTTAAATATAATCGAGGCTTACGGTTTTATTTCCGGTTAGAATGCAAGCTTAAATATAATCGAGGCTTACGGTTTTATTTTCGGTTAGAATGCAAGCTTAAATATAATCGAGGCTTACGGTTTTATTTCCGGGTAGAATGC